ATGTAATTTTTCCTAAATATAATTCATTACTCGAAACATATTCTCCTTCTTTCTTTCGAGTTGTTTGACCTATTTTTTTTAGTCCATCTAAGAACAAAGTACTCCATCTGTCCCATTTTATGTGACATTTTTCGAATTTCGAGATTCAAATAAGTTTATCTTTGATCGTAAATTTTTTATAGATTTTTTAAAAATTCTGAATTATCAATTATTGTGACTTGTAGTACTTTTTACGTAATTTACAAGTATATAAATTTCATTTCAACAAATTTGCAGATTTCATGCGCAAATTCTAGGTCAAACTTAAACTGTTTGACTCTCGAAAAACAAAAAGTGTCACATAAATTGGAACAAAGAGAGTAAGCAATTGTTTTTACTTTATAGTGACTCTTTGATTTCAACTTTCAACTAGACATGTTTAAGACCACAAAATTAAATATTGATACGTTTGACATCTGAAGACTCAAAAATCTTTTTTCACGCTCTTAAACTTTGTATCAAGTTAAAATTAGATAAATAAATTAAAACAGAGGAATATAAATATGTATATGTACCTAGAATTAAAAATATGAGGGCCATGTTCGAAGTAAAAAGGTACAATATCTTTGGCAGCAGCAAAGGGTCGATTGTTTTCATTTGGAGTAGTTATCATAGCAGTCAATAAACCTCCTGTACTTGTTCCTCCAATTACATCAAAGTAATCTGCAAGTCTTGCATCTTTATTATTGTCCACTTCCTGACTCGAAAAGAAAAGTAAGTCGTATAAATAATAACTCACTTATTAATCAGTTAGTACATTTATATATTAAAAAAAATAATTAGTAAATAAGTTGTAACATAAGAAAACCATAATTTATTTGAATAATAATTAGCTTTATCATGACCTATCGACAATAAAAGTACTATTACTAATCATTATCACAAATAAGCATCGAAAAAATACAATTCAAGTGTAAAAACGATTGTAATGTCACACTTACATAAGTACATGAAAAAATGTTTTTACGATACCTGAAGTTGTCCTTCAAGAAAATAAAGAATGGTACCCGGAATGACTATAGTAGTAGTGTCACACTTACGCACATACATTAAAAAATATTTTTACGATACCTGAAGTTGTCCTTCAAGAAATTCGAGAATGGTAGCCGGAATGATTCCCTTAATTCCACCTCCATCAATACTAAGAACAGTCACCATTTCTTCCAACTTAGCACATGTTGAACTAGTAGTTGCTAATATCATAAAAAATAAAATTAAAAAAGATTTAGTAGTTGCCATTTTGCAAATGTTCAAAGTGTTTTTAAATTTTGTTGGTGCTTTGAGCATATAACAAGCATGGTATATATAGGCACGTAAACAAGTTGAGAAATTTTACTTTGAGTTTGACATAACCAATAAAAGTTAGTGATGTTTATTACCTCACTCAGTTTGCACCGCAACTGTCGTTAGTGATGTTTACCTTTCCTTTTTCTATTATTTACTAGATATATGATCCGTGCCAGCACGGGGCACAATATATATATATATTTTAATTTTAATTTATGTCATATTATGAAATTTGAAAAGTTATTGAAATTTTTATATGATTTTAAAAATATTTTAATTTTTAGCTATTGTGATTTGTAGTACCTTTTTTTAACATAATTTTGAAAAAAATATTTATTACTCTGTTTGTTCTAATTTATGTGGCAGATGCATAATTTCAAATACTAACCCTTTTTTATATGTCTCTTTAATATATTAAGTTGTTAATTATTGTATTTTATAGTACATTTTGAACCTAATTTTTTAATAATATATGTTATTTGCCATGTCCCAATTTATGTGGCATTAATTGATAGATTTGTTGGAGTCGAGAGATTTATTTTGTTAATTATTGTAATTTATAGTTTCTTTTTCGTCAATTTCAAACAATATATGTTTATCATATAATCCATTTTATGTGGTACCAATACAATTTAGAGA